AGAGTAAACATTACTCTGGGTAATAGAACAGAAAGCTGTGTCATTATTTCTTTTTTAATAGAAACAACTTCCAAGTAAAAAGATTACATACCAAAATTATCAAGACTCATTACTTTGTCTCAGTATTTTTGGTCTTCACACTGAGTAGGTGGATTAGAAAACATACACACTTCATTTGTAGTTAGCTACTTTGCAGTCTGTAGAGATCACTACTTTTATTCTGCCTGATTTCTATTTTCATTCTCTCCAACTACCTTCTATCTTTTGGCAGTGCTCTTTGATATTGCTTGACTTGTGGCCTATTATCTTCCTTTAGGGAATCTGGGAAGCATAAACCATGTAAAACATCTTACAGAAACCACACCAAGTATTTTCTTGTGTATATGAGCACAGTTTTATAAATTATTGTCCTAAACAACCATAATAATAAAAACTGATTTTCAACCATAAGTCAAAATAAAAAAAATAACATAGTGGATAAAATAGGCACAGAAAACTATACCTCATTGTATAATTTATCCATTATAGTAAAACTCATCAAATTTGAAAAGTACACTAGTATTATCTATATATCATTCCCTTTGCATAAACCACAATTACTGGCAACTATCAACACCAACATTTCTGTCACCTTGGGGAAAAGTACATCATATGCAAATTAGGAAAGTTTCTTTTTGGATTTGGAATAATGTTTTCAGTGCACATTTGTCCAGCGTGGTACATCCTGGAAATCAGATGTGCTTACTTCACAGACGAAGAAAGCAAGTGCAACATTAGCATCAGCGCAGATCTGTAAAGCTCCCAGAAGCAGGTTGAAGGATATTCTCTCCACTGCGGTGGCTAAATGCCTCAAGCAACACTCTGATGTCAGGATTGTTATTGCTGGTGATGACGCATGAAGTGGAATGCACATAGCTTGATTTTTTTGAGTAAGTCGTTAAACTTGAACTTCTGACTATATTATTTTTAAAAAGAGGAACTTGGCAACTGAGTGATTTTGACAGGAAAGTTACTGGTGGGGAAGAAAACTAGATGTGATACTTCTATAAAGCCACATTCTTTGTGAAATATTAAACTTTAAACTGAAAGAGAAAAGCAAATTGCGTGGAAATGTTTAAAGGAAACTACTAACGCAGAACCTCTGACTATAATGCAATAGTATCTTTCAAGATGTTTCCAGTGGAGGGCAATGAATGAACTCAGACAGGAACAGGTGGTCAATGGGCATAAAATCACACATTCAAGTGTTACAAAGAATAAGGTATATATAACAACAATAAATTTTATGCCATTTTTCTTTTGTTAAGGATAGATTCTTTACTCATACAATATACTCTGATTATAATTTTCCCTCCCTCTAATTCTGCCAATCCCTCCCCACCTTCCCTCACATCTGGATCTACTGACTTTCTGTGTCTCAGTAGAAATAATAGGCTTCTAAAAGTTGATGAAATAAAAATATCCTAAGGTGAAGCAAAATGTTTTATACTGAAGTTTGACAGAGAAGCCCAACAGGAGAAAAAGAGTCCCAAGAGCAGGCACAAGACCCACTTCTTCTCACAGTCAGGAATCCCATAAAAATATTAAGCTAATAGTTGTGGTGTATACACAGAAACCCTGTTGTAGGCCCCTGTAGACTCTGTGCTTGTTGGTTCAGTCTCTATGAGTTCATATGGTTCTTAATCTGTTGATTCAGGAGGCCTTATTTTCCTGATATCCTCTATGTCTTTCAGCCTCCTCTTCCATGGGGTTCCCTAAGCTCAGAGGGAGCAATTAGATGGAGAACTCCAATTTAGACTCATTCTCCTCATAATGTGTGACTGCTGGTCTCTGTATCTGTTCCCATCTGCTGCCAGAGGAAGGCCCTCTGATAATGACTGGATAAGCATTGAGATGCAAGAAGGCAGATTATCCTCAGGAGTCATTTTATTGATAATTTCAGGCAGTAGTGTTTCATTTTACCCATGGCTCTTGCTCTCTAGTTTCTGGTTCTTGTTTACGCAGAGTGTGGGATATGTTTTCCTTTTCATGGAACAGGCCTTAAGTTAAATCAGACATTAATTGGGTTATCAGCACAAGTTGTGTGCCACTATTGTCCTAGCCTATTTTGCTGGATGGACAGATTGTAGGTTAAGGTTTTGTGGCTGAGTTAGCATTCACATTTTTCTTTTGGGAATCCACAGAGTACCTTGCAGCACCAGAGATTAGAAGTTAGAGGTAAAGGCTCCATGCAGGCACCAGCTCTTCATTTTCAATGAGTTGTGGGGATGTTGTACTCAGCAATGGGGCTCATCTATCAGTTTGTGGAGAGCAACCATATATCTTATCACCAGCCTGGCCTATTAGGGGATTCCCAAAAGACAGTCATGGCCAACCATTAAATTGAATATAAACTATTCCAACTATTGAAAGCCTTGCATACCTACAAGGTGGCCAGTTGAGATTTCGTGTCCCTCATAACCAGGAGCCCTCTTTGGGATCACCTTCACACAGCTCCAGGAAGTTTCCATTGCACTAGGTTTCCACACAACCCACTCAATCCCACCCCCAATTCCAGCTGTCTCTCCCTGTATTCTGTCCCCCAATACCATACCCCACCCCCATTCCCCAACTCCTTTTCTCACACACCCCAGTCTACCCATAAAATCTGTTTCCCCCTCCAAGGGAGATGCCTACTTCCCCCTAGACCCATCCTCTTTACCTAACTTCTCTGGATCTACAGATTATAGTTGATTATCAATTACTTAATAACTAATATTGCCTTGTAACTGAATACACAGCACATTTATCTTTCTGGGTATGAGTTACCTCACTCAGGATTATTTTCTGGCAAATTTCATGATGTCGTCTTTTCTTACAGGTAAGTTATACTCCATTCTATATGTTCTACATTTTCTTTATTCATTCTTTTGTTGAGGGTTATCTAGGTTGTTTCCAGTTTCTGTTTATTAGGAATAACATGGTTGAGCAAGTGTCCATGTGGTAGCAAGTGGCATCCTTTGGGTATATGGCCAAGAGCGGTATAGCTGGATCTTAAGGTAGATCCAGTCCCAATTTTCTGAGGAATCTCCATATTGATTTCCAAAGTGGCTGTACAAGTTTGCACGCCCATCAGCAGTGGAGGTGTGTTCACCATGCTCCAATTCCTCAACAGCACGAGCTGTCACTTGTTTGTTTGTTTGTTTTTCTGATCTTAGCCATTCTGACAGGTGTAAGATGGGATCTTAAAGTAGTTTTGACTAGAATTTCCCTGATGGCTAAGAAAAAGATGTTGCAAGTTTCTTTAAGTGTTTTTCAGCCATGTGAGATTCTTCTACTGTGAATTTTCTGTGTGGATCTGTACTCCATTTTAAAATTGTGTTCTTTAAGGTTATTTTGGATCTAGTTTCTTGAGTTTGTTATATATTTTGGATATTAGTCTTCTATCAAATGTGGAGTTAGTGAAAAGAATTTCCCATTCTGTAGGCTGTTACTTTATCCAATTGACAGTGTCCTTTGCCTTACAGAGCTTTTCGGTTTCCTGAGGTCCCACAGTTGATCTTAGTACCTGCAATGTCTCCTTTACTATGTGCCCAAGACTGTTCTCCACTTTCTCTTCTATGCGGTTCAGTGTATCTATCTGGTTTTATGTTGAGGTCATTGATCCACTTGAGTTTTGTAAAGAGTGGTAAATATGGAACTTTTTCTATTCTTCTACATGCTAACATCAAGTTTGACTAGCATCATTTAGTGAAGATGCTGTCTTTGACAAAGATATATATATCTGCTTTGTCAAAAATCAGGTGTGCATATGTGCTTGGACAATCAAATCATGCAATTTCAATATATAGTATATCAGTGCTATATGTTATAATTAAATTATGTTATATAGTTATTATCACTATTCTCATATTTCAAATTATTTTTTATATTTATATGCTTGTTATGTGTGCATGCATGAGTATGTGCAAGTGCCACAGCACACATGTGAAGGTTCATCCTTTCCTTCTATCATGTGGGCTTTAGGATTTTCAACTCATGCCATCAAATTCATCAGCAAGTATCCATATTCACAGGACCATCCCACTAGAACCTAGGTTCATGCTTGTAGTGTATAGCAGAAATGTATGATCATCTATCTCTCTGTACATTCCTCTCTCTCTCTCTCTCTCTCTCTCTCTCTCTCTCTCTCTCTCCCTCTCTCTCTGTGTGTGTGAATCTATCTTCTCCTTTTAAAATCCTTTTGGATGTGTTGTTGTCCTGGCAGTCTCCTTGCCTCACTCCTCATCCAATATATGCTGATTCTGAAAAGTACAGTAGCAATTCTAGTGAAGCAACCCAGGAGCTTCAAAGAAAAGCTTTTCCTGATGGGCACGCTGAATGGATTGAACTGTGCTTTTCAGTAGAGTGGGCGCTGCTTGGGTTCCCAGAGGATTTCTTTTTTATTTCTACCATAGTATCTATGACTCTGTGAGCACACTGGCAATTTAAATCAGATCACCAATGTTGTTCCAAAGTCACTGCCACAAGCTTCCTAATCACCTGGCCACTGGGCATTTGTAAAACACTAATGAAGTAATGAATTCATTAAATTCTATCTTTCACTAAAGCATCTTCTTCGGGGCCTATTATAATCTCAGCTTGTTGGAAAAGGCTGTGGTATAAGCACTTTGAAACTCAGGCACGTCAGAGCTCTCTCTGTGTCAGCTCCAGTGTCAAGGCCACTTATAAATAGCTTGTATCCATGTACACACTTTGCAAAAGGAAAATCATTCCATGCTACATTTCGCAATACCCAAAGATTTGGAATAATTTGCCAACGGGAGAACGCCTTCTTAGTATGTTTGCTATCATTTCTAACAATTGTAGTTTTACCTTATCGTTGCTTTAATAAAACTATTGACACTTGAAAAATGTGTTAAAAATTTTAAAAACTTTCCAAAACATTTATGTTTCAAAGGATACAACATAGAACAAAGGCTTACCAATAGAAACCAATAGGCAACCATTCTTGTAGATGAATTTTTGATGGCACAAGAAGCTTTACTGTTTCACTCAAGGATGGGTATTTTTTGAGAAAATTTGCCATATGCCAATTCCACAGAATTGAGCCTTAATAATCTACCTAATAACTCTACTTTAAGCTTTTACATACTTTTTTTTATGAAGTAACCACTGTAGCTAAATTTCCAACAGACTTTTGAAAACCTGTTAAATTTAAACCTAGGTGTACATTTTGAGTATTTATGGCACACTCAAATACTGTGTGCTCAGTACAAAATTATTATGAAAATTTATTCAGAAAGGAAATTATTTATAATATGTATACACTATCATGAGACTTTTATGCAGTAAGAACTATAGCAGACATTATAGTCATTTAAAACATATATATGCAAATATTTAGATAAGAATAGACGTTTATTTTTAAATTCCATCTGACTCACAGAAGGTAACTGAACTATGAAATGTGAAATTCTCAGATGTATGACACTAAGGAGCAAGCAAAGCATGCCAAGGGCTACTGTATTAGTGTCATTGCTGTTGCAAAATCCCCAAGAAAAATAAAAAGGAAAGAGTGGACTTTGGGTCACCGCTGGAGCTTTTTGCTTCATGGTTTGAGCATACAGGGTCATGTTGGAGAAAGCATGGCAGCAGAAATGGGCGATACCTGGTCACCTGCTGTCTGCAGTCAGGAAGCACAGACTGATCAACACCAGTGTTCTGCTTGCTTTGTCCTTTTTTTCTGAGCCTCCAACCCAGTGATGCCCATTGTAGGCCTTTGCCCCTAAGTTACATATCTATTGACATACCCACACAAGCTCTTTAAAGACACTCTCATTTAAGTCTAAGGCAATCGGTTAACTGTGAGGCCCTCTACAATACAAAATAAGTGTTAGATATATCCAATGGTGTAAAGCAAACCTTCTTATTCTGAAAGGGGAAATATTTTTTTCTTACAGCAGGAACAATCAGACCAAGACAAGATTGAAACCCAGCAGGTCCAAACCAAATCCTGCACCTTAAATCATTATCTAGGTTCTTATAATGAAGCCATCCAGACTCCAATGTCCTTGGATAGCCACACATCTCCAGTGCATTTGTTTTCAGAGAACAGGACCTCTGCCTTGTGCAGGCTCCAATCTACTCTTGCTGAGGCTTTCCTTGGCAAGCATCACAGAGTCCTGGTATCTCTGATGTCTTAGGTTGTTTATTGCAACTTAAGCTTCACCTTCATCTCCATGCAATGGCCGTTGAGTTCATCTTTGCAGACTCCGTCCCTGCCACACAGGGCCTTGCATTAGCAGCTCTCCACAGCATTAACATCAGCCACCAAAACCCCTTGATTCTCACACTTTCATCCTGAAAAAGATAGTACTAGGTAAATAATACTGCCAAATTCGCTCCTATATAAAGATGCTGCCTGGTCCCCTTAGGATATAGTTGGAGTGGTTTTTGTGTGCATTTGAGACTTACCCTGTGGGTGGAAACATTTTTCAAGGAGGCCATTTTTGGAAAGGGAAACCCTGTGGTGACATCATTGAGTTTTACTCCTTCATTTAAAAAATTACTTGTATTTTCACAAGTTGAAGCCTTCTTTATGCAGGGTACTAATTGTCCTTGGGGTGCCTTTACGATTACCCCAGTGCATAGGTGTTGTCTAGTCTTTAAAAATTTTTTTAACAGATTTAGGTGCTTTTCCTTTTTCCTCCATGCCCATAGCTTCAAATTCACACACACTCCTCTACTTGCAAAATTGCATGTTTTACAGTTATTTAAGTTTCTCACTGGAGATCTAAACAAAAGCTGTGTTCTAAACACACACACACACACACACACACACACACACACACACACACACACACACACACACACCAAAACAAAAAACAAAAAACAAAACAGAAACCAAGCCCCAGTTTAGCTGACATCCTGTTTTGAAGGATTTTTGGTTTGTTTTGGTTTGTTTTCTTTTTGTGCCCCACACATTACTGTTCAATTCAGCCTCAGTCAAGTTCTCAGGACACAAAATGAAAGCAATTGTTAATTGAGAGTGACACCAATGGCCTTTAGACCCCTTGGCTTATTGAATTCTGCTTAGGACATTTTTTTTTTTTTGGTTCTCTGTCTCATGGCTCCAAACTCCTCAATACCCCTTTACCATTCCAGTTTCAAAGCCTACTAAGTAGGTGATTAGATTTATCACAGCTACAGTAACACTCATTTTTCTGTGCCAGTTACTTTGCTCACTACATAAAATGCCTGATGAATGCAACTTAATAAGCAAAGGAGGATTTACTTGACTCATGTTTACAGAGTAGAGCCATCCTGATAGGGAAGTGTGGCACCTGGGGTCAGGGGTAGTCAAGGAATACACTCACACACACACACACACACACACACACACACACAGCGGAAGGCTGAGGCTCCTCCCCCATGGCAGTGCCACCCACATTCAGGATTGCTCTTTCCACCTCAGTTATACCCTTCTTTCTGCACATGCCCTAGTAGATAGACTCAGGATGCTCCTATGCGATTCTATGATGTGCCCAGTCAAGCTGGCCACAAAGGTTTAATCATTGCAGTAGGTAAACAGACTTGTATGGTGCTTTTTTTTTCTCATTTGTTGATTTCTTCATTTGTTTTTGCTGCTGGCTGGCTAACAGGTATGTTTGTGATGGATAACAATGAAAAATAATATTCCCTGAGCTCAACCACCTGAATAAATTATGCATTTAGGAACTCATAAAAATGCTATCTTATAGGCTATTGACAGCTTCTTTTGAAAACTAAGATCAATTATAACAATGGTCCAATTTTCTTTTCTATTATATTGTAAAGATTATAATTCAGGTATTATTTTAAGGTTATAGTCTAATATTGGGCTCAGGATAAATAATAATCAATTTGAACAATGACAAAGTGACTTTGAAAGAAAATCAAATGAAAATTCCAATGTTACCAAATATTTGAGAAAAAATACTTCAGAGTGTTTTTTTTCCCCTTCTTCGTTTCCCCCCCCCCAACTCCTGCCATGCCATCCTTACAATGAAAGAGAAGATGAAAGGGGAAAACAATGAACTTTTGACTTAATAAAGAATTCAAAATTTTTAACTATCACTATGAGAGAGATGGCCTTTTTAGAATGGAGTTTAAAAGTGATGGTATTATGACAACAGACACTAGAATACTTAAACTGGAAAGAAAATCTCAGACTCAATAGCCCAAGAACAGACACATGCAGCAAGTACAAGAGCTTAACGGGACCAAAACTGGAAGGTTGAGGCAGAACAAGAAGACTGGAGAAAATGGAGACATGCCTTTGAATGCTGAGCAGAATTTATCTGTTGATTTATTGACTGATTTACTTTTCATTTTGTAGTAGATCTCTCTGCATAGTACAGGCTGCCCTGTATCTTTCAATACTCTTGCTTCAGTGTCCCAAGTCCTTGAACCATAGTTGTGTATCTTCATGCCCAAGTTTCTGTCACAAAGTTGACTGAACTTGAAGTCTATCCAAAGGACCACATGGTAAAAGGAGACAAAAGCACATTCTTATGCACACACACACACACACACACACACACACACACACACACACACACTCCACACATGGAGGCACATACCTTTATACAAACATAAATAAAAATAAACATAAAATCTTTTAAAAATCCATTAACTTTAAAGATTACTTTTATGGTTGTGAATTTATTGGATGTACATTTTATTCTGGATATTTCGGGTTATTTTCTCTTCTACTGTTATTTGATAAGAATGTGATACTAAGCTTTCCATGAAGGCAAATGCTCCTGTGTTTTACAGTGTTTTTTTAAAAAAGTTTCTGGATATACTTTTAAATATGTATATTATGTTAGTAAACTAAGTTCTTGGTAAGAAACTTGTCTTTTTTTATTAGAAAGAAATTATTTTACATGTTAATCCCATGCCCCTCTCCCTCCCCTTCTCCCTTGCCCCCCACCATAGATAGGCCCTACCTATCTATCCCATACCTTTTCTGTTCCCCAGAGAGGGTGAGGCCTTCCATGGGAGGGGTCTTCAAAGTCTGTCATATTCTTTGGGATAGGGCCTAGGCCAACCCACTTGTGTCTAGGATCAGGGAGTATCCCTCCCTGTGGGATGGGTTCCTAAAGTCCATTCCTATGGTAGCGATAAGTACTGATCCACTACAAGAGGACCCATAGATTTCCAAGGTCTCCTCACTGACGCCCACATTCATGGGGTCTATATCAGTCCCACGCTGGTTTCCCAGCTATCAGTCTGGGGTCCATAAGCAACCTCTTGTTCAGGTCAGCTGTTTCTGTGGGTTTCACCAGCCTGGTCTGGACCTCTTTGCTCATCACTTGTCCCTCTCTGCAAGTGGATTCCAATTCAGTTCAGTGATTAGTTGTGGATGTTTGCTTCTATTTCCACCAGCTGCTGTATGAAGGCTAATGGATGGCATATAAGTCAGTCATCAATCTCATTATCAGGGGAGGGCATTTAAGGTAGCCTCTCCTTTGTTGCTTAGATTGTTAGTTGGAGTCATCCTTGTAGATCTCCAGACATTTCCCTAGCGCCTGATTTCTCTGTAAACCTAAAATGTCTCCCTCTATTCTGGTATCTCCTTTCTTGTTTTCTTCTATTCTTCCCCCAACTCAAACTTTCTGCTCCCTCATTTCCTCCTCACCCCTCCTCTTCCCCCTTTCAAATTTTCCTAGCTCCCTTCCCCCTTCGCCATGCTCACAATTTGCTCAAGAGATCTTGTTCCTTTCCCCATCTCCAGGGGACCATGTATGTCTCTCTTAGGGTCCTCTTTGTTTACCAGCCTCTCCGGCAGCCTGGCAATCCTTTACTCTATGTCTAAAATCCATATACGAGTGAGTACATACAATTCCTGTCTTTTTGTGACTGGGTTACCTCGGAATGGTTTCTTCTAGTTCCATCCATTTACCTGCAAATTTCAAGATTCCATAGATTTTTTTCCCCACTGAGTAGTAAGTACTCCATTGTGTAAATGTATCACATTTTCTCTATCCATTCTTCAGTTGAGGGGCATCTAGGTTGTTTCCAGGTTCTGGCTATTACAAATAATGCTGCTATGAACATAGTTGAATAGATGTCCTTGTTGTATGAATGTGCTTCTTTGGGGTATATGCCTAGGAGTGGGATTGCTGGATCTTGTGGTAGACTGATTCCCATTTTCCTGAGGAATCGCCATACAGATTTCCAAAGTGGCTGTACAAGTTGGCACTCCCACCAACAGTGGAGGACTGTTCCCCTTTTTGATTTTAGCCATTCTGACAGGTGTAAGACGGTATCTCAGAGATGTTTTGATTTGCATTTCCCTGATGGTGAAGGATGTTGAATACTTTCTTATGCATCTTACAGTCATTTTAAATTACTCTATTGAGAATTGTCTGTTTAGTTCTGTACCCCACTTTTTAATTGGATTATTTGGTGTTTTGGAGCCTAGCTTTTTGCGTTCTTTGTAAATTTTGGATATCAGCCCTCTGTCGGATGTGGGGTTGGTAAATATCTTTTCTCAATCCTTGGGCTGTCCTTTTGTCTTGTTGACTGTGTCCTTTTCCTTACAGAAGCCTCTCAGTTTCAGTGCTACTGGTTTTATGTTCAGGAAGCAGTCTCCTGTAGCAATTAATTCAAGGGTATTTCCTACTTTCTCTTCTAATGAATTCAGTGTGGCTGGGTTTATGTTGAGGTCTTTGATACATTTGGACTTAGGTTTTGTGCATGGAAATAGATATGGATCTATCTGCAGTCTTCTACGTGCCAGCATTCAGCTATGCCATCACCATTTGTTGAAGATGCTGTCTTTATTCCATTGTATAACTTTGGCTTCTTTGTCAAAAATCAGGCATTCATAGGTGTGTGGGTTATATCAGGGTTTTCAACTCGATTCCAATGGTCTACCTATCTATATTTGTGCCAATACCAATATTTCAGGACTATAGCTGTATAATAGAGCTTGAAATCAGGGATGGTGATGCCTCCGGAAGTTCTTTTCTTGTACGTGGTTGTTTTGGATATACTGGGTCTTTTGTTTTTCCATATAAACTTGAGAATTTTTTTCAAGGTCTGTGAAGAATTGTGCTGGGATTTTGATGGGGATTGCATTGAATCTGTAGATTGCTTTTGGCAAGATTGCCATTTTTACTATGTTGATCCTACCTATCCAAGAACATGGGAGATCGTTCCATTTTCTGGTATCTTCTTTAATTTCTTTCTTTAAAGACTCAAAATTCTTATGATACAGGTCTTTCACTTTTTTGGTTAGCACTACCCCAAGGTATTTTATGTTGTTTGTGGCAATTGTAAAGGGTGATATTTCTCTGATTTCTTTCGAAGCA